CATTTGAGTTTCAGAAATCTCAGGGATGTTGGCGTGCATGCTGTTGGGCCCTGAACGGTGCTGATTTTACACTGTTTTCTTGAATCAGTGGACTGGACTCTGGAATCTCCATTTCAAAAGTTGCTGAGTCGTGTTGCGCACGAACCAACGAATTATGGCAACTACGCGTGCGTGTACATCCTGTCAACGCTGGTACATCCTTTAACAAATGTGCATGTTCAGTATTTCAAAATGGCAAGGTTATTTTGGATCACGGTACACGCATGAGTCTGGGTCACGCTGATCTGATTCGTAATCGTGCCCTCCCTTCGTTCTGAACCACGCCCTCATAGAGTTAATTATTAAGCGGAATATGGAACTGGAAGTTAAAGCTCAACTTTAGTGTTCCGTCATCTTGTAATCAGGTGCACTTGTATGACGAAGTTACTAACGAACCGGATTGGTCAGACCTTGCGGGCGCGACCGAATGACCCTGAACGCAATCCGGTTCGTAAGTGTGACGTCTCTTCAGTTTAAACCACGCCCACTGCACATGAACTGCACATAAAGTTATATGCATCCTGAATGCCTTGGCGAGTACACTGAAGCGTTCGATTACCCACATTTCGAGGCTTCCCTTGCGTGTAACACTGGTGTATTCAGGGAAGCTAATTGAACGGACCCATTGATCGAAGTTTACATGGAACCACGAAATCGGAAGTTAACGTGCAACTTCAGCGATCGCCCAATGGGAGCCTGCAAATCGTGGCGCGCCCGCCTTTGTGACAAAGTCACTTACTAACAGAGTATCGGCAACTTGAATATAATATCAGTGCTCTGAAAATCACGTATTTCAGAATACTGATTTGATATTATATTCTTGTCGATATTCTGATCACGGTGCTGTGCAGCCCTTCCACATTTCACTTACGAACAGGATTCATTTTGGGTATGCGCTACCGAACTGGCTGAATAAAAACCAATAAAAATGTGGACTCTTCCTGACGTCATTGCTTCACTTTTCAGAAATAATTCATAATTATGGCCTCGGCAGCACCAAGTGTGAGCGGGCCATTGAAATGGTACAGGGGTGCGACTTTGATGATTATTTTCTCTCATGTTTTCTGGCTTGGTTCAGTTTTTTCTTCAGAAAATTCCATTAAATCGTTTTCACTATTAGTTTCTGATCAAGGCGGAATTGTTAGTGCTTTGTACAAAGACTCTATAATCGTGATTTTTCCTCTGCGCACGAGATCGCCGTTTCTTAGTGTGCGTACGTGCATAATTATGAATTTATCAGTGAAAAGGTCTACTGTCTCTCACAAACGGGTAGTTTGCACAAACGTCCATGGGAAGTTGAAGTTGGATCAAAACGCGAGAAAATGCAACTTTTTCGAAAGGTAAGGCCGTGTCCGAAACGGGCTTCCATGCAGAGCTACAGCTAGGTCTATTGTCTGCGCGTATCCACGTACTTTCAATGGAGTGAAGACCTAGACCTAGCTCTAGGGGTGCATTCTACCAAATCATGGTTGTATTTCTGCGCGCGAGCTCATTAATATTTTGTGATCCCCGGGGTTTTTACAACAAGACATACCACAATCAGGAAGCATCATAGAAGTATTTCTATAAATTCCGAATTTGGGACTGATAGTTTCCAGTTCGGAATATTTCTTTCACAAAAAGCCCCAAATTCCAGGCCTATTTTGGATAGAGGCGGGCGGCTACTTTCAGAAATGAGCGCTATTACTGCTGTTATGGTGGTATCTTCCTTGAAAGGCGAATAAAGAAGGATTTTCGTGGATAACCCCCATGAAATTGAAACGAAAAGTGATCTTCTGGCCATAATCTTGAATTTCCAGTAAAACAAACGGAGGCCAACCTCTTCACGAGAGTCAACAGGCGGCGCTATTTTTTTTTCTATTTTGCACTGTTTTCTACGGGCTCGTATTTGGTGTAGTGGTGTATCCTAGACAACGGATTTGGATGCAGCCTAAGTTATGCACTGAACATTGGCAGGTCGTCTCTTATGAATATTGGGCCCTCTACTGGTACCATCGTTGCGCTATTCGGCTGAGCTCGCCAGTGCATGTCGCCTCAGTGCATGGTGCACCGGTCAAAAACAGTAAAACCAGTCTTGGGGCAAGACTACGGAAGCGTATACAGGACATGACTGAAAACATTTCTGCCTTCTATTTCGCCCCGGGCGGATTGCTATTTCGCCCGGGCAGATTACTTATTTCGGATTGCTTATAGTGTGCCCAGAGTTTGCTTTTCGGGGGGGGGAGCCACAGGTTGGAGTTGGGGAAAGGGCCAAATGATTTTTTTCTGCAAATGGCAGTGCTTTATTCTTTGGTTTGTCCCCCGTCCCCAAAATAAGGCTAGGGCGTTTTCCACCCACTAAACATTTTTCCCTCTAGCCTCACATTGCATTTTCCACGCTTTGGGTCTTCTAGCCTTTTTTGAGTAATTCATTAAAGTCATTTTCACCTATTTTTTTGAGAATTAGACCTGCTGTTATTGCGTAGTGTTCATTTTCCCGAAGCAGCCAAAAGCCTACACTTTTTCCACGCGCACACGTTGTTAGGACACGCTGGCAAGTGCGTGGCCCCAAACTTCAAATGGCCATAGCAGCATCTTCAATTGAACTGAGAATGTACTGATCTATTGATTATTTGAGTATGATTGTCTTTACATGCATACAGAGTTTCATTACACTCGCGTATGGGATGGCCGAGTTCGGGGGGGGGCAGAATCCGTCCCCTTGTCTGTAAATGGTCCCCCATACTTCTGACTTTTTAGGGTTAAGAGTGAAGTATGCATGAATTTCTTTTAAAAATTACAAGGAAAAAGAACGGCTTCAAAACATCGTTATAAAATGGTTGGGGGAGGGGGGAATCTGTTCCGTGCCCTTCCCCGCTTGGACACTGAATACGCCACTGCACTTTATCTAATAGGGAAAAGGGGTTTCCAGGAGGGTACATAGCACTAGACTACGAACCGATCCTGAACGTCAGGGGGATGCAGTTGCTCCCACCACTGTAAACTATCGAGGAAAACGGCTAAAAAGGGGGAAAGGGACAAGAACAAAGGAGAAAACAGGAAAAAAATAGCTTTGTTTTTTTAAAGTTAGGTATAGTGCTTTTTATTCCCTTTAATCTACTTTTTGTCATATCTTTCGTATTTTGTTATTATTATTTTTATATTATTCTTTGGGGAAAGCAGGTGCCCCCCTTGCGACGCACATTTACCCATGCGTTACGATGCCAAGTCAGTCTCGATTTGAAACTTTCTGTCACGAGTAAGTCCCCCCTTTTAGGAGAAACAAAAGGCTCTTAAACAATATTTACGTAGCTCGTTCTGATGTGTCAAAGACTATATCCAAGCAATAGATTCGTTCCGCCAGGGCCGCCCAAAATAATGCTAATTTTACTCAGAAGAAATCGACGCATACACGTAGAAGGAAAACCAAAACATTAAACAAAGTGGGTTGATTTGATTTGGGATGGCCCCAAACATATTTCCTTCCCTGGGGACTCCACAAACTAAACAAGTTCATTACAAACGAACAAAAAACAAAAGCACCAATTTACATTTAATTGCCATTTAAGTTACCAATTACTGCATTAAAGAATTAAAAAAGATCCTGAAAGTCTAGAAATTTGATTCATATAAATTAAGTGAAGTGAAATTAAGTCCCTTTGAATATAAGTACCATCAATTTAAGGTGATTTATATCCTTATGAACAATTAGCTTTATTTTATGAAACTGCCTCTCCTCTGCAGATAAAAGTGTCTGTGATATAAGGTGATAAACTAGCCTAAGTTAAACTCTCTCCATTTCTCCAAAAAGAGAATTAGATGCAAGGAAAAAGCTGTTTTTATAATCAAATAAAAAAAATGTAACTTTTTCAGGGGAACGGCAAGACTCTGAGCCAGCGCCGATCAGAGTAGAGAACTGATGCGCTTTTGTTCAGGCTTTATGGCTAAAATGTTTCATAGATTCATAAGGGTTATTTTCAATCGGTTCTATAGACATTCCCATTAACTTAATCTGCAGGGGTGAATGTAATTAATTAGAAGAATATCTCTGTCTTTGCTAAATGAAGGAGTGAGAGCGCACTTCATGAGTCACTTTGCATCTTCGACATAATGGCGCGCAAAAGTGTCGGAACCGTCTATCTGAGTCAACCCCCCCCCCCCAAAAGGAAATCATCCTTCATTCTTACACACAAATCTACGCCACTCCCCAGGTGGTTTACTATTTT